GTGAACTCAAGTATCTTGAGAGAGTTAGGCTAATAACCGAATCGATCACACCTATTGTCAAAAGCAAGGCCGTGGCGAAGCTGTTTTTGAGACAAGACGAGTCGAAGCAAACACACGATCCTTCATCATTGGTGCTTTCGTTGAGAGTGATCGATTGTGTGTTTGGTTAAACTTTTCCTATCCCATTCTTTTTCTTTGGGTCCGATTTTTTTGTTTCTTTTTGTTCGAATTTTTTCGAATTTTATCCTTTAGTTTTCGAAAAAATTCGTGAGTCTTAAAAAAAAAGTGTCATCTAATCTTTTGTTATTTTTTCTTCCCTTCGGTTCGAATTTTTTTTGAATTTCCTTTTTCTTTTCTTTCGAAAATTTTTAGAGTCTTAAAAAAAAATATGTCTTATGTGCCAATGGACGAGATGGATTGGGAAGATCTCGAATTATTGAAAAGTTTGGAAAGGGAACTCACCGCATGGGAAAGCACGTATCTAGACGAACTCCATGAGCGAAGAAATCTAGAAGAATACGAGCGACAACTCGTAGAAGGCAGAGGAGCAGGAGATGGTGAAGTCCACAACAATGAAGATGATGGTGCGCTAAACTTTCTAATCCTTGAGGACAAGGAAAGTCTTGAAGAGGAGGAGAATGATACGGAAGTGGTCATCAACCCAGGCGAGTCCGAAGATGAGGATGGCGACGACCTCAACATATGGCTGGAAAACATGCTAGAGGAGCCGTCAAGCCCAATATATCGACCTTCATGCAAAAAGGACTGACCGAAAGGATGTGGTCCACAATCCAAGCTTAAGTCTAAGAAACGCAAGACCAAGCGAGCCCGAAGGAAACGTAAGCAAAGGCTAAGGAATCACGTTGTTGGTGTAAGCCTTGCAGAAGAAAGAGGAGAGCAAGGAAGAAGTAGGCTAGAAGGCGGGGTTTGCGATGGGTTGAAGAGGAGTGGTGGATACCGGCGAAAGAGTGCATGAGGTTGAAGGGTTGGGACCCATGGCCATCGGGTGAGCAACCGGAGACGATCAGCGATGGAGGTGCGAACACGATCC